CAGCTAGTCTGTCCTATTTATAGTGCGATTAGCTCAACCATTAAATGATTTTTGAAAATCTTCAAACCTGCATTTCACGAAAAAATACAAAAATGAGCAAATGCTACAAAAATATAAACTACAAAGCTGAAAAGCTACAAAAATGAGCGGAGTTCAACATTATAGCATTGAACGTAATTACATCCAATTTGCTGCTAGTTGCATGTTTAGGGAACATTAATCCCGGAACCTCGAGAGATATATCTGGGCTAAAAACCATCCATTTACGGCATAAACTCCCCGTTCTGAAAGAATTTACAAAAAATGGCTACTATAGGGTGATTAATTTTATATTCTAATAATAGTACTTTTAAGAAGCGCGGGAAATACATTCTTCATAAAATATTACTCTTACAGTCTATCTTACACTACTCTTTGGTGGCTAGTCATTTAATGTGATTTCCGTGAAAAGGAAAATTCCCTTAACACATCCGATCAAGGATAAAGGACGCTGTAAGCATAACTAAATTTAGAAATAGACTCTACACTTAATTGTCGTAAGATTACTGGTTTTCCAGGCTGGCTAACAACGCTATTCTGTTTTTTTCTTTTTTCTCCATTTTTGGTACTGGAGTGTATGACATAAAAATAAACATATAGGTGTAATTAAGCACTACATGAGTACTAAACCATTTTGCAGAAAAACTTAATAACTACAAAATCGTTAAAATTTAAAGGAATGCCATTAATCCCCCAATCGGTCAAGCAGAATACCCATGAGATGTTAGTATATCAAGAAAAATACTGGAAAGTTTGCATAAAAATCTAATATACAGTAAAGATCTTTCAATTAAGCGTTCTAGTACTGTGCTTGTAAGAAAACGAATGAACTGAACTCTATTCCCACCAATGCCAAAACAACTTCTTCCCACTCATTAGCTCAATATCTGAGATGATAACCTTGCAGTCAAACGCAAAAAATGATTTCCTTTGGGACAGCATAGAAGGATTTTTTATTTTTTCTTTGTGATAATACGGAATATCAGACAATAATTCTTAGAAAAGTTCACATAAATCAAGCACAATTATTCCGTAGTTTTCCACTGCATAAGGTTTTTTAAGAAAAACATTTTACTTTCTTAACTTAGTGTTTACGCTTGATATATGAATGATGGTTAGATTGAAGTAT